GCAGGGATTTCAAGGGAAGGAATCTTATTTTGGTTAACATCTGTTTTATCTTTCAAATCGCTTTTTTTCGGATGTTTTATCTTATTATTCCAAGTGTAAAATTATCCAGCCCTAATAACATGGCTTATCTTCTTATAACAAATGGCAAGACTGGTCGTGCTTAATTTCATCAACCTAATACAACTTTTTTGTTTCTTGGAATTGTGAAAACTTTAAACACACGCAGGTAGCGATCAACCATACCATCGCTTGTACCTAATCAATCCAAGCTTATGTAGTTTAGTGGATAATCATCCATTGCTGGAGGTCGTGAATGTCTACGTCTGTCTGTTGGGTAGGATGGGTAATGGGTTGTTACTGCATTATTTAAACTTACAACTTTTCTAATTCAATTATACATCCTAATTTTTTTCGACTTTGTTTTTGCAACTGGAAGAAGTCAGATTTTGTTATGATTTTGATTGTTGCTCTTTTACCCTTATTGGAAATTAACTTCAAGCAGTTTTGAAGTAATTTATCACTTTTAAATCAAGCACTTATCTATCGTATCGCTTTTCATTGTTTGTGTAGCATCAGTTTTTCGTCTCCTACAGTTTATTTTTGAACTGATGGTGAGTCTGCTAATGGCAAATTGAGAATTTTTATTTCTCTATCTAATTTTACATACTTCCAAAAAGGATGTTTTCACGCAGAGGTTATTTCAATTTTGAACGTGCTTAATCTTCCATTCTTTTCGGCTAGTTTTAATCCGTATACCTGCGAGTTTTGTGACAAGCAGTAGTTTTCTTAGAATTTCCCTTCACTTCCTTGATTTCATATTTATTGTTATGTTCCATTGCACAGTGCATCCGCGAGCTAAAAAGTCTCGATGAAGGTGTTCGTCGATCCATCCCATGGTTCCAATTAATCGGTGACCGTGTCTACTCACTCGTAATTGGCGCTTGTTTCTTTGCATTTAAATTTACCCTATACGAAGAACTCTCTGCACTGAGTCGGCAACGCATTCCTTTCAACGGCACCAATACACAGCAACTTTTCTCCTTATCTGGAGTCGCGAGCCTGTTACCAATTGCTATCCCAAATTCAAGTGGTAGTGGTGGTGATCTAGGATTCAACATCGTCTTCGCATCTTTAATTACCTGTCTTCAGCTCATTTTTTTTTCAATCTGTGCCAGATCCTGTCAACGAAGAGATACCTAATAAATTATTTAACTCTCTTCTTGCTTTCCTCTTCATAATAATTTACTACCTTATTAGTTAGATACAGACTTGATACAACTTTTGTTTGCTTACGTGCTCCCTAATGGAATATATAGTTGGTTTATCCTGCTAGTATCTTTAGGCTGCTGAGGGTGTCGTGTAAATGATAGTAGGGATACGTCACTATTGCGATAAGTTTACATTTCTAATGAAACTTGGTTGGAAGGAATCCGTGATGTGGTACTATCGGAAACCGTAGGAGGATTTTGTCTACATGCTTGCAGATGAGTGAAGTTATTTCACAAGCCGGAAGTTGATTTAGTGACAACTATTACCTTACATAAATAAGCTGGCGTACGATCATCTAGTTTTATTCATGTTTGGCCTTGTGTTATCCAATGTTCACGTGCCGGGGAGGGCTAATGCAGCCTCTTGTTCAGTGGCTCCTC